TCCTTGGCTGGCTGCTCTTGAACTCCGGTTGCGAAGTGTCAAGGCTTCACTTCTTCACCAAGCCTTCCGCTTGCCCACCTAGCGCTGCAAACTCTATTGCTGGGGGGTCGCGCTGCCAGGCTGTGGACTTCGATCTGGTGCTGCTTTTTAATGTGCCCTGTCTCATGGAAGCGCCAAAAGAAAAGATATAAAACACTGTAAAAGCAGTTTTATCACGTCGTGGGGTCTGCAGAGATAAGAGCCATATATTTCCTTCAGGAAAACTTCGGGGTATTAGATCGCACGAAAGTCAATAAACAGGACAAATGTACAATTAATGAGTAACAAGTGTCATTGATGACGGATATAAATTATTCTCAAAGCTCAGAGCAATGTTTTAGCTTGAAGACGAGGGGCTGTAAGGAGGATTTCTCATCTCAATATTGGATTGTGTTTTATTTATGGCAGAATTTTAAAAGAACCCAATTGACAGGCGCAGGAAAGAGAGAGAGAAGAGAACATTAGCAAAAACTATAATTTCATCCCTATAAAACATGCATAGGCTGGTGATCGCTGGAAATAAACGTGTTTCCTCGTTGACAGTTTACGAAGGAGCAACTGTGAGCAGGCGCTGGAAGAAACTTTTCACAATCCCAGAACAAAAAGGGTGGTACTGGGAAATTTCAAGACATACCTGATCTCTCAATTTCACCTCCGAATTCAAACCTACTGCCTACTCCTGGGACATTCACAAAGTTTATTTTGGCTTAAATGTTGACTTTACATTTGAATTTCAATCTAAGGCTGCCAGAGCAGTTGAGTCTTTGTATTGCGGGGGTGGGGGGGAAAGAGGGTTAGAAGCAGTGGCGAAAGGTAACGTGCGTTAGAGGTCATTACACTTCACACGCTCACCGAGATTAGTCATGGGACGAGCCTGCCTGTGCGCAGTAGCAGCTGCGTGTGCAGGGTGCAATGGCAATAGTCTGGAGGTAATAAACTGAAAAGCCTGAACTTCCCAGCCTGGAACTATGAAGTGACGGTCAGGCTGAGTCAGTCCATTCTTTCCTCACAAAGAACTGGCTGAAAAGGTCCCTGGGCTTGTTGAGTGTGGGGTGGTGCCCTGCTCTCTGCCTGGATGTGGGCTCTTTATGACACTAGATGTCCCTGTGTCTCCTAAAGGGAGCTCTTTCCAACACTAGGCCAATTGTGGCCCTGTTACAGAGAGTAGGAGACGTCAGAGCATCTGTCCGCTCTCTTTTAAGCGCCTTGTTTTCCTTCATTACTGTTTGCTGATGGCTTTGCCCCTGCCTGTTGCAAAATGGGAACAGAGTCTGCAGCTAGTCCACACTTAGTGGACAGCAAACTATTTCCTTTCTTTAAGGGGACTCCACTTATGCATGTGTGGGACTCGCCAAGGCTCTCTGAGTAAACTTGTGACTACACGGCACACGGAGCAGGTCAGTGTTTCACACACTAATAACATCACAACCTGAAACACTCCAGAGATCACGGAAACCTATTGTCTGTTCTGCTGCTGGGTCTCAGTGATAACCTGGGCATCCCATACAACCATCTCCTCCTACAGTGGTCCCGATATGTCCCGTCACTTTTATTGCACCCTCCTCCGAATTAAACATGCTCCAGGGAACTTTTTACAGAGGACAAATGCGGAGAACATGTGAACGGGGCAATTCTTTCTATAATTCGAGCCGGGGGCGGCGGGAGGGGGGAAATAAAATTCTGTCCCTATCTACTGCTCCATAGTGTACATGGGGACCCTGTCAAAACGCCCCTGGGTTTCGATCATCTAGATAAACGAGCACATTGGGGTGATCTTTAAACAGAATAATCCAAACCATGGTACAAAACAAGTGCGAATCCTCAGTGGAGCAAGCAAAGGGAAACGGGAACAGGGCTCTCCCCCTTCCTTCCACTTTAACAAGAAAATGCTTCTCTCTGCTCCAAGCGCCTGGAACAGAAAGTCACCTGGCCAAGGCCAGGTGAGTCTCAGCACCCAGACCAGCCAGGAGCTCACGTTCGCAACACCCCCTGAGCTGGCCTGAGCTCTTGGATAATGGTCTAAAGGGCAGGTTCAGTTCGTGGGGGAGAGGCTGGATGGTCACCAGCGCTTGTTTCCCTTTAAGGGATGAGATCAGTGCGAAGGGACTCGGAATTGGAGAGCACTTAGGTGTCAGTTTCTCCCCCAACAACTAGAAAAAGCAAGTGAGATGTTTCCTTTGTTAATCTGTCCTGTGTAATTAAAATAAATCCGGGAGACCTGGCAGTGATCTCTGCTCTCCGGGGAATTATAGTTTTCTGCCTGTATCTATTATTTTAATTAAAGCACGATTCCCATCACCCGTGGGGCGGCTTTTCTATATTTTTCTGGAACTGAAATGGTCAATGAATGAAAAATCGATATCCATAGAAGGGGAAATATCAGTTCCACTTCAGGCGAATAGCACCACTCGCCTATCACTTCAGGTCCCCCTGCACTGCTAAATACTGGAAATATATTTCTGTAATGGCTCAAATGACTTTCATCTCCACAAATCACCTAAACCCTGGGGATGCATTCTCCCAGCTAAATTCTGCCAGTATCAAAGTATCCAGCAGTCACTATGGTTGAGTTGCAAACTGAAGCCAGATTGTTCTCTCATACATACGATTATTTAAATACTAGGGGGCCGGGGGGAGAGGGGGTGGAGAGGAAGACCAGATAAAATCACACATTACTACAACGGAAACAATCTAACGTGCAAATAGAAATATCAGCGAGAGAGAGAGCGAAACCCACCGGACAGGTAAAGGGAAAAAGAAAACTGAAAAGGATTCTCTCCTGTAAGAAGACAAACACTTAACCAGTCACTTTTCGGAAAAGTCAAAAAGAATAATAAACCGGCTCAGCGCACCTGGAACCTCTTTAGCATACCCAAACAGCGGGAGGAGAAAATGACCAACTCATTCTCAGTGGGAATCAAATCTGGAACATCGTAAAGCGGATTTAGGAATCTTCACAGCTTAGATATGAATTTGCAGTGCATGATGCTGTATGAATATACATTTCCTCTGTACAATCCTTTAAGCCCCAAACAGCAAAGCCTGAACCTAACATTTAGTTGTACCCCATTAAAAGAGCTGAAAGAAGATGACATTCACCGTCTCTTTTTAAATACAAATTCTAATTATAGTATTTATAAAACAGATGACCCGGGATACAAAGCTGCTGACACTCTAAAGAGGCCTTAACAATTTCCTTGCTTTTTACAGCTCCTTGCAAATATTACATACAATGGTGTGCATAACAGGATGGACAGATAGTGAGAACACAATGTCAGAGTGGCTAAAATAAAGATCATTGGTCTAGTCGAAGTTTTTAATTCTAAAGAAATGTATTTTAATGTAATCAAGGTAGTAATTTCAAGACAAACAACTACTCTTCAACTATTAAATGTCCTGATCATACATTTAATTACTGCGTTTAATACGTTTAATAAATTCAAGTATACATTTAATATTATTTATATTTAAATGTATATGTTTAAATTTAATATGCATCGTCATTTGCTTCATTTGGAAATTTTAAAAAACTTAAAAGCGTTTCACTTCTCTGTTAGCTGTAGTTCACACTATTTTTCCTGTGCTAATAATGTATCCACAACATACATGAAAAGTCATTCAAAAATAAACTAAGAAAGCACCCCTTTAAAAAAATCCCTCCAAATGTGTTTTCCAACAATATCTATTCTTTTTTTCCATGTTCTTAACAACTAAGAATGTTTTCAATTAAAAAACAATCTTTGACCTGGTTTATGTTTCTGCAAATGCTCTTTCAAATATTGCGAGTTCTCGTATAAAGCACGTTTATTATTTAAGAGACATTCTTTCAGTTTGCACATCGCAGACCACATGCAGCCACCAGTTTTTAAGCAACTGATTTCAGTGGAGAATTCTACTTAAAACATGATGGTAAGACATGTGCTATCAAACTTAATCCTAAACTAGAATACTTTGAAAATACTTTCAAAATTCAAATCTAATATATACTGAGCAGTTTAGAGAGTATAGAGAACTAATGATCAGTTAAATAGAGAGTGGTGCGTTGAAAACTAATTATCAGGTAAACAGCATCCAAAAGCCCACATTGCACCGGCATGGTTGCCCGTGAGTTACAATCGGCCCAAACTGTAAACGACCAAAGAACTACAAGAGCGTATTTCATTCCCAAACAGAAGCAAGCCTTGCTCGATTAGTCAAAAGTCTGGTTCTTCTGCTTTAAACGCCTTTGTACAGATACGATTGACAACTGAGAAGCGCATTCTAGGAAGTGAGGGGCACTAGTTCTGTAGCGATCACATCATCTACATTTTATACCACAGAGACCGCTGGGCACAATCCACTACACATTTGTGAGCAATCCTTCCTTACCCTAGAATGTATCTAACCGTTAGAATGGACAGTCTGTGTGACAAATGTAAACAGCCTGGAGTATTGTTTAGTCGAAGCATCAAGGGGAAAAGGCAAATCTAATGCTCAGATACATAATGTGATACTTTTTATTAACTCTTCTATTTAGGTTCCATGACTTAACTAAATATTTTGAACAGAGAAAAATACAACAGAAAAATGTGTTAAACGAACGAAGTTGTAATTTGCTGCTGTTAGCTGGTTTTCTGTGGATCAGGGTTAAACTAATGCATTACTGATTTGATCTCAAAATCTGCATTATTTCGATCTGATAAAATGTGTGCTCATATTTTTTTCTGATTCCCTTCTAAAGCTTTAGCCTAACTAAACTCCCATTCAATTGGATTTATTTAGTCGTTTGAAAGATAAATCAGTGGGTAAATTTACAGCCATTTAAAGTACCTTGACTTTATAATAAAATCTTCATTTAGTGTTGCTCTTCTGCCGAATGACGTTGATGCAAAGTGGAGGACCAGCGTGCCAATCCATTGGCCAATCCGAGCTGCCTCTGAAGCGGGTTCCTCCAATCAGAGAGCGCGTCTTGCAGGTGGCTGTGCGGTTATCTGTGCATCTTGTACAGCTCTGGTCTCAGCTCTGAGTCAATTTCCCAGGGAAGGAACTCTGCCTGTAACTACCAAAAAACAAACAAAAAAATCATCAAAACCACTCACGCTTCCGAATCCTCTGATTTCCTAGTGGATTTTCAATCCGGGCTCAGCAATCAAAGTCGTCCAGGGACACTGCCAGCTGAGGTCTGTTTTGACCGAGACTTTTTGCCTCCCTCTCCTTTGCAATATTTTCCTGCCTCATTTTTGTTTTCCTTCTGACTGAAACTTTACAGTGTGCGTTGCTGCAGCTGCAAGTCCTGGCAGAGCCGAGGCGATCGCTTGCTACTCAGCACAAAACTTTGTTACTCAGTGGTATTTTGATTTTTTTTTAAGACTAACGAGCCCGTGGCTGGCGCTGCTCGTGTGGGTTAAGAATAAAACAGCTGGCTTTTTTATATCTCTATATATAGATTTATTGATGATCACAAATGTTAGCTGTGGGGCAGATGGATACTAATCGCCAGAGTGCATTTGTTCTGAGCAGTACACCGCTGGCTGCTCTGCATAACATGGCTGAAATGAAGACGTCGCTATTCCCCTACACCCTGCAGAATCCCTCCAGCTTCAAAGCACCAGCCCTGGGCGGACTGAACACACAGATCCCCTTAGGGACGCCGCACGGAATAAGCGACATCCTGGGGAGACCTGTTGGAACCACCAGCAATCTCCTCACCGGGCTGCCCCGGATTAATGGACTGGCTACCTCAGCAGGGATGTATTTTAACCCCGCAGCTGTGTCCAGGTACCCAAAGCCCTTGGCAGAGCTGCCTGGGCGACCTCCAATCTTCTGGCCGGGAGTTATGCAGGGATCTCCCTGGAGAGATCCGAGAATCGCCTGTCCTGGTAAGTGAGGGTGCATCTGATCCTAGAAGGGAGCAGGGAGAGATGGGGGAGGCGTTGAAGGATCCAATAAATTTGTGTGGGGGAGAGTTTGTTTTTGGAATTTGTTTTTCTGTCGTGAAATCAGACTTTTTATTAAGGCCCCTTTGGTAAAGGTAATTTTGAAATCCGCCCCCTCACCCGGTAGTCTTTTCTACTGTCTGGCTCCGCCAGGAGATTGTAGAGGTCGCTTTTAGAGTCAGGATCTTTCTCGATTTCTTAGATACAAAGGCAAATACGTAAGGAGCTATCATAACTATCTAATCTGGTGGTGGAGGTGGGAAATACCATTGACAATAATGGGTGGATAAAGATGTAAACCTGTCTGTGATACTGAGCAGTATAGACTTATAAACACAGGGGCATGTGCACTCAGAATTGCAATACATGAAACAGTATCATAACCCCCCACTGTTCAAAATAATAAACTAAAAACTGTAGCCTAACTTCATCACCACATGTCTCATTATCATTTACATGCCGTTTCAGCAGTTTCCTGGTGTCATTTACGATACGATTCTGCTAGATATTACAGGGCACAATCCTGCTCCCGGTTACAGTGGTTGAAATCCGAAAACGTAATTGAAACCAAGGGGATTTTTCTAGTTTTATATTGGAGAACAGATTCTGGCACTGAGATTAGATGTAGTCTCTAGTAACTGACGGGGATATTTTCTCCTGTTTGCAGCCCAGACTGGAATGGTTCTGGACAAAGACGGAAAGAAGAAACACTCAAGACCAACTTTCTCAGGACAGCAGATTTTTGCTTTGGAGAAAACGTTTGAACAAACTAAATACTTGGCAGGACCTGAGAGAGCTCGTCTGGCCTATTCGTTAGGAATGACAGAAAGTCAAGTTAAGGTAAGAAGCCCCGTTTTACACACCAGAATAGTCTCTGAGTAAAGATTATTTTATTAATGGATTCACAGATGTTGAAAGATGAAACTAGCACGTAACTGAAGAATACCTGCTTCTTCGGCTCACAATTTATTGAATTAACAGACCCTGTGGGAGTATTAAAGTTATGACAGGAGATATAACCTAAAGTTCTGATTTACTTTAATTGCAAGAGTAATATTTTATTTTCTGGACAACACAATCATAGCTTTTCACAATTGGTTTAATTCCTTACAATGATGCAAAATATATAAAAAACGCTTCTAGGTTATTTATAATTAAAAGAATATTTTTATATATAATAGATTTTACCTTTGTGTTTATAAAGTTCGTTTGCATGGTCTTAAATATACGGAGTCCTTGGTTTTGAAAATCAGTTGCAAACTACTCAAGTGAAATGGGTTCACATTTCTCAATATTCCAGAGTTTCGTGTGGGATATTAGATGTGCGTACATTTTGTTTAAACACAATAATATTGGGAAATGTTTTGGCAGTGTTGAACTATTGTATACTGGGTTATATATAATTTGACTGCGAACTATTACGTTCTTGGCCATTCGCTTTTCAAAAGAACATTATTCTCCAATGCTACCAAAATTCCATTTGAACGACAATTAATTTTGGCTTCATTGTAACAAAAGGGAAGTCAGGAATAGGACACTATATTCCTTCGCCTGACATTGATAAACCATAAAGATTCAGTTTGAACGAGCTGTGTTATGGAGTGGCAGGTGCAATTACTTTACACAAACATACACATTTCTCTACAGTTATCCTGTTGCAGTCTAGCCAGTTTTTAATACTTTTATGTACGGTGTTTGGCCTTTATGTTATTGTTTGAGAGTCAAAAGTGATGATCCCCTTTCATATAAAGTGACTGAATTTTCAATAGTACATAAACGATCCTGCTGTCTTATGAGACGGAACCAGTGATGTTAAAGGCTATACACACCCAACTTTACTGTTTAAACAGGAACCACCAAGGGCAAGCAATATTCCAGAGGGAAAGTGAAACCAAGTTTTCTGAAGGGCGCTCTATGTGTGTATGTATGGAGGGTTGCAAATCTGCAGGAGGTTGGGGTGTTGGAAGGAGAGTTACAGCTAAGGGTTTTTTCCCCCCTCTTCTACCGGGTCTCCAACAGGTGTGGTTCCAGAACAGAAGGACGAAATGGAGAAAGAGGCACGCCGCAGAAATGGCCTCCGCTAAGAAAAAACACGATTCAGAGACAGAGAAGCTGAAGGAGAGCTCAGATAATGAGGACGATGATGAATATAACAAACCTCTGGACCCCAACTCAGACGATGAAAAAATCACGAGGTTATTGAAAAAGCACAAATCCACAAATTTAGCCCTTATCAGCCCCTGCAGTAACAACTCGGATACTTTGTGATAAAGGGCGAGAGACCCTAGCCAACAAGACTGACTGCTCCCTAAGGCGCTTTATAAAAGCTGAAATAACCAGGGTATAAAACATTATAAAGAAGAATTGTAACTGGATGTTTAAAAGTGATGTGTTGTACAGCCTAAGATGTATGTGAAATGTATATATTTTTTACAGAATAAGTTATGAAATTATCTTCCTTCTCATTGATGTAAATTGCAGAGGAATCTTTCCAACGTTCCTTTATTTCTTTTTTAACTTTCTCCGCTCTCCCCCCTACTTTCTTGCCAATTTCCTGCTCTAACAATCAGATTTTGTTACTGTTTTGTATGGATCACCGACTGCAGCTCAGCCACTTTGTATATAGGAAATTTCAGATTTTTGTGATGTATATTTCTAGTGTAAAAATGGCTCTTTTATTTCACCCCTCCCCTCTCATTGAGCGTTTTGGCAGTTTTAGTTTCTTCCTCTCTACGGATTTTATGCTCTATTACATCAGAAAAACAACCAAAAAGACAGACAAAGCTGGACACTTGCTTTTAAATTGGATTAAAACTATTGCCTCCACGTCGGTTGGAAAGACTTTGTATAAATCAATAAATTATTTAACAAGCTTCTCCTTTAGCGCGTTCCCCCCGATGTTTTGTTTCATTTTCCCTTTTCCATCTCACCCCCTCACCCACAGGTTGTTCACCATAAGTAGGGATTTTAAACCCCCTTGGATAGTTGGGGGTCCCGCCTCGGCAAAGGGGGAGGGCGGTGTTCCGTGGTGCTAGCTGAAGTCAATCCCAGTGGGGAAAAAGTAATTTGTTGTTTTGGAAGCAAAGCTGTTTTAGCGCCTGGCTTGTGGGTTTGTTTTGAAACCTCAGCCGGGCCCAGTAATATTTCGAGGGTCTGTTTTGGGGGGGTGGGGGGAGGGAAGACGTGGTTGGAGTTAGAAGCTCGCCCAACTGTTGCAGGGTAACTTCGCGCTGCTGTGTCACAGGGGTGGGGACTGGGAACGTTTTCAGGGGCCTCGCGTCCGGACTGAGCTCCAAAGCGAGAGACTAGTCGGCTCCTCTGCCCCTGTCCGGTCCGGAGCGTCTCCTCGCATAGTGAGCCGCTATACTGGAAACCAGAGCGGACCCCGCCGGTGACAAGGGCAAGGTACAGGAGCTCGAGTGGAAAGCAAGGGGTGGATTCCGGCTGCACAGCTCAGACACTGCCAGTTTGGAGGCTGGGGTGGGAAGAGTTTGCCCCGAGCGCTTACCCTGGCCAGTGCTTTCACCGTGTATGAGAAATAGCAGCCGTTCACCTTCCCTTTTAATCGTTGGCTGAGTTATTGGCTTGTTTTTTGCGTTTCGTTTCATTAAATCCAAATGCACCAGATGGAAAACGCGAGGGAACTAACCCCTGGCCCTGTCCCCCCCGGAAGCCAGCACCAAGGAATGCAGGGTCGGGCCTTAGTCCCGCCACCAGCCTTTCAGACCCGCCGCTTGTGGGCTTAGGGCCCCAAAGTCATTGGTTACGATCATTGCTGGGAGCAGAGCGGTTTGCAGAAATAACCCCTCTCTCAGATTCAAGCTCCTTGCCTGGGCTGGAGGTTAGACTTTCAAAAGCAGCTGCCCTACATGAGAAGCTGAGAAGCCCAAAGAACAGTCTCAGCCACCTACCAATTGTTGCTTCCTCTGCAAAACTGGCTGGCTCTGATCTGGTACTAATATTTTAAATGCTTTGTCAATTTACACCCGAAGCAAAGAGGTTAGAGGATCTGAACTTGTGATCTGAGCCAGACTTTGCTAACTGGCTTTTAGAGCTTATTTTGTAAGAACTAAAAGGTCTGCGCATCTGGGGGGCGGTGGGGGTGGGTGGGGGTGGAGCGAAGAGACAGAGACAAAGACACCACTTTCTCCAACTCTATGATTATGTTTTGTAAATCACCGATTTCCATTCGTTCACCGCTTTTTGTGCCTTTTCTTTTTTTCCAAACTTGCTGCTGCTGAACGTGCGGAGCACAGTGCGGGAAAAGCAGGCCTGGGCGGGAAAGGGTTTGCTCAGGTTTGTTTTGCCAAGAACTGTGACTTGCGGTTTATTGTGGCCGTTCTCCCAGTCCATGAAAAATATTCCACTAAAATAGAGTAAGTGAATGTGAGTTCCCTTAGCCGAGCCAGCGGAGGTGTGTGTGTGTGTGTGGGGGGGGGGGGGGGGCGAAGGCTGCCACTGGTTCTGTGCACGGAAGGGAAAATCACACTGGTCCCTGAAAGAAAGAGGAGCCCAGATTCCCAGGATGGGATGAGCGGGAGGAAGAGTTATGTCCACTAGATTCATCTTCACACACCTGTTCAGAAAAGCTCGGCCGTTTGCATTCGGTCAATGCACCAAACACCACATTTCCCAGCCTCTAAAGGGGGAGCGCAACAAAAGTCGCAAAACTTAAAATGTGTCCCTGGCACGTACCAAAAGAAAGAAGCAACATCTTTCCAATGTGTCTGTACTCCGAAGGAGGGAGAGAGAGTGTAGTATCTCTCTTTCGTTTATATCAAATCGAAAACATCCTACAAGCAGCTACCAAACTACGTAGTTAAAGGCTAAACTTCTAGGGAGAGAATTGCAGTGTAAGACGTCGTTTTTCCAACAGTAAGTGGTAGGCATCTGTTAGATTCACGTAGGTACTAGTTAGTTAGCTTAACGCCCATTGTTATCTTGACACCATCCCAGAGGCAGAAGCCTACAGGGCCAACTTTTTGATCTTGCCAGTAGAACGGTAGAAATAGGATTTATTTTATTTCTTTTTGATGCTACCTTTATAGGAAACCGTGGGTAGTGAAAGCTAGCAGCTCTGTCTTTCCAGCGAATCGGTGATTTCTATTTAGAGGACACCGATCATTTTTACAAAATATTTAAATTTTGGTTTGGACAATTCAGAAGTGGTTAAGGAGGAAAGGACAAGACGTATCAAACTTGCGGGCGGGAGAGAGATGCTCCCACCGCGGTACAGTGAGTGCTTCGTGCGGAGGACACGATCAGCGGGGTTTTTTTTTTTTTTTTTTGTAGCTGGGCTCTGGGAGTATTCAAGGGCCTTAAGAGTCTAGGCCAGTTTCATTGTTAGGTTTTTTTAAATGAATGAGACATTCTTTCTGCTTCTCAGCTGCTGTTTTGCAATCTGAGCAAATGCAATGGGCTACACAGAAAAGCCAAGCAGGGCCCTTCTTTACTTGCCAGGCAGCCAGAAAAAAAAGAAAAGAAAGGAAACCCGTTTCCAAACGCTGGGAGTCCTTAAGTTTTCCTTGCGAAGATTCAGTCCCTGAGCACTTTAAAGAAAGCCACTTGGATGGGAGCAGTGTCTGGCAACCGCTTTAGCTTCAACAAAACGGGGTTTCTCCAGCATTAAAGCTGGACCATTTAAAGCAACATAATAGCTGCCTTTTGTGAGACCTCACAGCGCCTTGGTTCAGAACTGGCGTTTGGGCCCCATCCCGCGGTCCACTGGGCGCTTGAGTGAGCGAAGCCTGTGGGATCGGGCCCTTTGTGACTCTCTTTACATCTCACACCCAGCCAGGCAGCAGCATGAATTGGGGCCCGCAGTTAAAACAAGCCGGTTCCCACCCTCCTGCGAGCCGAGTCTTTGAGCGCCCCGCTCCGCGGGAAGGACGCCAGGAGCCTCCCGGGAGGTGCAGCCTCCCGAGCGCAGCCCAGACGCCAGCGCTGGAGTCTCTGCCCCCCAAAGGCAACAGGCTCCGCTGGGCAGGGGCGTCTCCGGGCTGCAGGGAGCCCCTCGAGCAGGATCGGGCCCGCTCCGGGAGCCGCGCAGGGCTGGGTCCGGGCGGCCTCCCCGCCTAGCTTGGGCAGGCAGCGGGTTTGGGGGCCGGACCGGCTGAACACGCGCCCCCGGAGCCCCACTGACAGCTCCGAAGCAGCGCCCGGCCGGGCTCCGGCCTTAGCCGCTGACCTGGGGGGAGAAGTGGGAAAGCCGCCGCCTTGCGCTGATCTCCGGCCGGGGCAGATTCACCTCCCTGCGCCCCTCTCCCGGGGCGGGGAAACCGGCCTGCCCTTCGCCTGCACCCCCAGGGCCGCCTCCCCCTTCGGCAAGAAACCAGCCGACAGCCGGCGCGGCCTTCTTTGGCCCGGTCCCAGCCCGGTCTCCTGGCCTGTCAGCCCCCCGCCGGCCCCCAGCAGGCTCCAGTTTCTTTCGGACAGCGGAGCAGATGGATGGCGCGGAGGCGACACGTGGCTCAAGGGGGTTTTGTGTTTGCAACGCGAGCAGCGAAGCCCGGAGCCAGCCCGGCCCCCCAGCACGTGTTATACCCCCGCCCCAGGGGCGCCACGCAGGGGCCCCGAGCCTGCCGGCCTCACTCCGGCAGAATTGCCCCCGGAGCCCGTGGGAAGCCGGCCCGAGTAAGGGCCGCGGGGCGGCTCGGGCCCGGGCGAGGCTCGCTGTCCCGTGGAGCGTCCCATGAGCGTGGCCCCTTCTCTTCGGCGCAAGCCGTCGCCGCGGGGATCGGGGCTGAGGCCGGCTCTGGCCGCTCCCATTCCTCGGAGGCCGCCGGCGTCCCGCTAGCTCCCCGCGCACAGAGCAAGCTCCCCAGCTGGCCGGGCAGGGTGGGGATACGGTGCCACACGTTTCAGCCACGGGGCCCGGGGGAAGCCCGCGTGCAGCTTTTGTCTGCTTCCACACAAACCAGGCAGAGAACAGGATCTTAACTCAGCACTCGCTGCAGAGGTCCCAGCGTATCCGCGGCTTTAGAGGAGCGGGTAGGTGTCCTGCCCTCTGGGAAGCACCCCTGCGGGCCGTTTCTCTGAGCGCTAAGGAGGGCCGGGCAGCGTCCCCAGCGGAGGGGCAAGCGCTCTGTGGCCAACGCCAGGCAGACCACGTCTGGGACCGGCTGGTAGAGGAGCGGCTAGTGCCCTTCCTATGGCTAATAACCCACCTAAAATGGTATTACAACGGAGGCCTCAAACCATGCGTTTAATACTTATAAGTATTTTCTCAAGACCCTAACCCAGAGGTTCCCAAAAGAGAAGAGTGAATTGATTCAAATGTCAGAAAGAACGATAGTTAACCTAAAAAATACATTTTCTCTCTCACTGAAAGATGTCTGAACTAAGCCCGAAGCCCTTCCTTCTCAACCCTTTCCTAGCAAGCCTACTGCAGCTAGATCAGCTGTATATTAGGAGCCATTTATCTGGGGATAGTTTACCTCTTCAAGCAAAATAGTCAATTAGACATATAATTTAGGTATAGCACAGCAGCCCTCTTTTGACAGGTTAGCATTATTCCCCATATTGTCTTTAATTGACAAGGTTGTACAAAGGTTAAAGGTTCATTAATACATTATCCTGTCCCCTGTAAATGTGGCCTGACTAGGGAAGAGATTTAGGGCGGTTAATGAAGAAGGCAAGTACCCAAGGTGTACTGTTTGCTCTTGTATTTTCATATTTACTCTGTTTACTATGATCTTTCAGTCCTTGTTTCCTTCCTCTGGTTTTATACTTTGATGTGCTTCCAAATTTGATAAATACCTGAAGGAAAGAGCCAATCCCTCTTCAGAGAGCCCGATGGGATTTCACCTTTGCACTTACTTCTCAGATGGCAACACCTTTCCAAAGGAAAGACAGAAAAGCTAAGATTTCCAAAAAGCTATTTC